AGCTGTAATTGCCTGCTTGCTTATCCACACAGCTCTTTACAGCTAATCCAAATGTGGACTCAAAAATAAATAGTGACAGAGCATTCAGCTCCCACTGGGCTGTCCTTTCAGCATTGCCTCTGCCTTCGCTTTATTCTGAGTGGTGCTCTCGATGGCACAGGGTTGGACTCAAAGGAGATAAAAATGATTGAGCCACTCAAGGATTTAGGTGAGAGAAAAGCCACTCTCAACCTATCTGCTCTAGCTGTTTCTGCTTTTCCTTGGGGTGCTGCCTTATGGTTATTCATCTCTCCCTGCTTTCACCCCTCTTCCCAACCACAGCACTCTCCAACCCACTCTTCCTTTGTGGCAGCTGGTGCCCTCCCTGTCACCCATTCTTTGTGTTCCCACACAGGGAGGGTTTTAACAGGGTTTTAGTGCTGCCTTCCTCAATTGAAAGATCTCTTCAGGGATGTTTAAAAACCATGCACTTCTCAGACCAGATTTTTTTCTGGAAGAGTGTGACACTGAGGCATAGCTGCACAGAGCTGGAGGGGACGTCCCTGCTGATGGGACCTGCCACTGCCTCTGCTCTCCAACGTGGGGTTTGTGACCCAGCACTTGACCTTGCTGCACATCCTCCCAAAGCCAGTCCATGTTACAGGTGAACAACAGAGATGATACAGTACTTGTCCAACGTGTCACTTTCTACATAGATTCAAATTAATTTACAACTGACGAAGCACAGAAAGCTAAAAATGTCTGCAGAGCCCTGACAGGCAAAGGGGACAATTATCCCCAGCAACTGCAATGTGCCAAGAGAGGCATTGCCTCGTGCTTTGATTACAAACCCAGCAGCACCAAAACATGGGAGAAGCTTTTCTGGTTTTTCACTCTGCCAGCTGAAGGTGGCCTCTGCCAGGTAGAGCAGGGGGACTGGCACAGCCTTTGGGTGAATGGGGAAGCTGAGCCACATTCTCAGGGCTCTTGGAGGTGGCCCAGAAGGTCACCAAAGAAGAAAGGATGTGACTCTTATTTGCAGCAACAAGCAGCAGCTCCCTCTCTTGTAGCTGATCTGCGTATGCAAGAATTTCTTCAAAAAGTGGTCATTTTGATCAGCTAAGTCACCTGGGATGAAACAAGTTATCATGGAGATAGAAATGGATAGGAAGAGGCTTTGGGGAAAAAGAAGGAAGTCAAAAAGATAAGCAGAAGTATAAAGTCTGCTCTATAGGTAGTGGACTACCTAGACTCATAACAGGCAGGTAGCTCTTGGAGCCAGGTAGGAAAGAACCTGAGGGCTTAAAGAAAAAATTGAACAATAAGGCTTGAAATTTTTTCCACAAAACATAAAATCAGTACTGGAGAAAAAAAGATCATGACATGCAAATCTGGATGATTTAGAGGTTACCTTGGAATATTTAATTTAGAAGTGAGTATGTACTGGATGTCATCATGTAGTAAAGAATTATGACTCAAATTTTCTGAACATCCCTTTGACTAATGTGTAATACTGGGCAGAAGGATTTAATAATTATAAGGGATGACCTGAAGTTAAAAGAAGTTTGTCTTCGAAAACAAACCATAAGCCCCTGTATTCTGCACATAGCTAAGTTACACCCATGTGATGGCTTCAGTCGTATCTAGCAGTCTCATCTTTCTCCTTGGGACATGGAGCATCTTAGCCACATTTGTGCCAGTGGAGTGCAGTGAGATCTGTCCCAGGCACGATCCTCCTTTAACTCAAAAACCAAGTGGGATGCTCAGCCCTCAGCTCAAGGGAGATTTAGGAGAAAGGCCAGAAATAGAGGTGAAATCATTAATGCAGCATCATTAGCGATCAGTCTTCCTGAACTCATTAGTACATTAGCACCAGCTCCCCATTGTCCAGTTTTCCCTTGCCGTAATGAGGAACCCCAAATTCAAGGTCGTTTACTGGCTGGATTAGTCACTGAGTGCAGCCGGAGCTCCTGGGATACTCCAACAAGAGCAGTTATTTATGTCATTCTGTCCCACACCGTGCTCATTAGCTCACAGTACAGCAAGGTCTGGTCACGAGGCAGAAATACACCGTTTGATATCGCTGTTGCTGCTTCACGATTTAGTGTTGCTGCTGGCAGGGCGTTAAATGTTCCCTAAGTGGTAACTGTCTTCCACTAATGTGAATGCATTTCTTTTATAAGTTAACTTATTGCTTTTCCTCTTAGTCCATGCTGGCTGTTCTTCTGCTCTGGCCACAGATAAGTGGAATTCAGGCAAGCAGGCACTGGGCCCTGCAGGGAAAAGAAGTATTTTGAGGAAACATTGCTCCATGAATAGTGTCACAACGTGAGAATTGCCAGTTTGGTGCTGATCTGCTCAATTTTAACAACCCCACTGGATTTTTCCCCAAGCTCTCCCTGGTGCAACCCCACTTCCATCTACCCCTTCACATTGCAATGGGCCATACCTGGGAGCTGGATGTTTCAGGCTCTGTTTTTGTTCTGATTCTAGCTCTTACATTACTTCCATACCAGGATTAGCAAACTCCCCAGGGTCATCTCTGGATGCAGACAGGAGAATCTCAGCTTAGCAGTTAACTGCATAGCTGTGAGTAGGAAACAGCAGATGTTGCACCGTAGAGCTAACCTTTGCCTAAAGGAGACACAAATTTAGCGACTTCCATCTGACTTCTGGAGTAGCTTCCATGATGTCATCAGAGTTAGGATTTTACACAAGATTAAGTGTGCAATTGTGTGTTAAACAGTGACCGTTAGCTCAGATTGCCCAGCTAATGAAGCAGGCAGCATTAACACCATCACATATGGTCAGCTTCTAGGCACCGGTGCCAGGAGGGACTCTGAAATCTCTCTGATGTTAGAGGAGGAAGGACACCTCTCTTCTCTTCTGGCATCACCCCAGTGGGGCAGCCCCTTACTGCCAGCCATCACCCTCTGGCTCTCTTGTGATGTGCTCTGGAGCTTGTGGGTCTACTCCTTGCCCAGGAAGGACAAAGACTCAAGCAGGCAGCAGAAGCTGCTGATCTCTTCTAACGAGTGCCCAGGGTTTTCCTAATTAGGAACAGACTCTGATAGCACTCACCACCAACTCTGGGAGCAATCAGGACATAGTAGTCCAGCCAGCCAGGCTTTCCATCCTGTACCCTCAAGGCAGCAGTGGTAAATACAAACATCGTTTTATTTTCCAGCAGTAAGGAGCCCCAGGACTGAGCCTGGCAGAGGTCTCAGACCAGACGCCATTATGGCCTCCAGGTAGATGCTCTGCACTCTCCTGAACTGCTCAGTGCAGAAACACCAGAGTAGGATTAGACCCAATATCTCACAACACAAATTTATGTCCGTGATCCCTATAAAAACACTTCTTAGCTGGTGGCTGATAGATGCTATTTCACCTTCAAAACTGCAGTTATTACAGGAAGGAAAGACTTCTTCTTGTTGTTGATTCCCCAGTACTTACCTACTGTGGTTGTAAGAAAGAAAAGAGGTTTTGCTGGCACAAAGACCTGCAGCGATGACCATGTACATGAGGAAAAGACTAGAGAAGAGTCCATTTCCATTGCCTCCCTTCTTTGGAACCACTTTCTTGTCCAGTTTACTGTGCATGAATGCAGCACAAAGCCATGCCAGATAGTACTCAGCCATGTCACCCAGCAGCCCATCTGTGTACATATGGATTCTGGCTCCCTGCCATGCCTGTCTTTCCCTGCAGCCACCTCAGCTGGATTTCAGTATTCTCCCAAGGTTCATTGCTATGCAAATATTGAAATCAGCGTGTTTACGTACATAGTGGCATTACAGACTTTTCCAGGAAAGGAGCACTGAGGAGTTCAAGTGCCTTCTCTGATGGCAGCATCAACAGCTGGGTGTATTTTTCAGTGAGTTCCAGTGTATGAACTCCTGCATTAAAGCATTCAAAATCCCTCATATTTCATTTTTTTCTTAAACTTTTCTCACAAACACCTGAAAGCACAAAGTAATGTGAGAAAGAAGTAACGTGAAATACAGTGAATCTGTATGGCCCGATCTCCAGAAATGGAGATTATAGCCAACTTCACTGCACTCAGATGAGCAGATTTGGAGAAGTTGTGAGGGGAATGGAAGCTCCACTGGCAATATCCATATTATTTATGCAATTATTTAACTGCAATCCGTAAGGATAGTTATTCATATTCAATTAATCCACGGTATCCACAATCTTCTAGGACTAGATATAGCAAATATGCCTTAAATCAGGGCAGTTCTGCAGGTCCAGACAAAAGAGAAATACTTCCTGAGGTCCATGTGGTGCTGTACTTCACATTTGTGAGATCTAATTGCAGTAAAGGGTTAAAGTTGAAATGAAACCTCTGAGACTGGAGAAGGCATCACCTGTCTGATGCCCCTGTGAAACACAGAAGCCCCAGGCAGGAGCTTATTCTGTGGGATGTTAGAGAAATCTCTTGAAAAGTGATATTGGAAGAAAAATCCCTGAAGCCCAGGTTGAAATATCAAGCAAATCATACTTCTTTAGCTTCAGAGAAAGCTCTACCCGATCTGGCCAAATGGTTTTGAGACAGTAATTTTTCTGTGGGAAAAGACATCTTTGTCACATCAGATACAATTCCATAAAACACTGCATTTATGTCTCATACTTCTGCCTCATTCAGACACCTTTCCTGAAAACCTCATCTCACTGAGGGCCATTGTGTAGCCAATAAATTGCAATAAGCATGCATTTGCTTAAACAGCCACTTTCTCCCAACAAAATGCCGCCATAACATTGGATGCAGCTATTACCTTTTCTTAAACTGCCAATGATTTCTTGTTCATGGTGCAAAGCCTGCAAACTGTGGAGCATATTTTACCAGGGGGGCAAACAAAATTTATCCTTCATTCCCTCTGCCAATTTGCCATTCTCACTACTTTACATCTCAGCTCAAGTTTATCAAATAATCCCTCCCGGGCACAGCCACGGCAGATCTGGGTGTAACTTGGTCTGCTGCACTGGGTGGGCAGTGACAAAAACTATCACTCTTCCCCTAGGTCCTTCCATCGCCCCACTGCAGCAAGCAAAGCCAACTCTGGGCAACCCTCTAAAATGTTTATTTGGACCAGTGGCCGGAGCTCTACATCTTACAGACACGATGAGAAAAGGTAAATGGCATCAATAATGATTGTCTCTGATGGGTTTGGAATCTCTAGGACCATGACCTGTCACTGCTCTATAGCAGTGGCACTGGGGGAGGGAGGAGGGATAGAAAGCCCCTTGTTCCCTCAGCTGCTCTCTGAAGGCCAGCTCCGAGGTTACCACAGCACACAGCACACTTATCCCCAGCACAGATTTGCAGTCACAGCTCCAAGCCCTTCACAGGTGTCCTGCTCCCTGCCCACAGCACACACACGCCCTGCTCCAGGCACAGCTCACAGCCTCCTCTTTTCCAGCCACCTCTACCTCTCCTCCAGTCACCTGTGCCTTTTACACATCTGCGTGATGCATCCAGCTGCCAGAGATGCTTCCTGTTTCTATGCATGCACATGTGGGAAGCATATGTGCATGACACTGCACAGCAGCTGGGTGATGGCAAACAGCTGGAAAAGTTGCTGGCTTCTGGTCCAGCCCAGTTCAGCAGTACTGCTGCAGGAAATAGGCTGATGGACAGGGGAATACTGAGTCTCACACAGACAGGGAATTGCACAGAAGAGAAGGAAAGGGAAGGAGAGGTTTTAAGTCTACAAAGGCAGCACTCAATTGGGAATGAGAGAAGTTAAATATCATTTCTGAGAGAACAATTGTCAGTAATGCTCAGGCTCATCCTTCCAAAATCTCTCTGCTTTGTAGTGAGATTTGCTGGGCAGCTCATCTTGTCACCACCAAACACATTTCCCCTTCCTTTCTTTCCCCCTTCTCCCTTGTCTCCTCTCCTTCAGCTCTCCTTGCAGTCACTATTAACTGCAATCACAAAACATCAGACTCAAGTGAAACAAAACCAGAGGTCAGTGGAGCTACAGTGCCAATTAGCAAAACACACTCTAATGAGACGTTACTGCTGGCATCTGCCTAGGAAAATGGGTTTTGAGTCCAGGTACTAGAGCTGCCCGCGGGAAGTTGGGTTTCTTTGGAGGACTGGCTAATTCACTGAACTCTGTTGCAAATTCCACAAGGGTGCTCAGCTCTTTGGATAATCCAATCCCAAATAGGTACTTTGAGGACTTGAGCTTGGCAGCAGGTTTCCATGCACATTCAGTTGGAGCTGGACATCTAACTGCTTCCTGTACTTCTGCAAGTCTCTTCTGTAATTGAGTTTTCCCCAAGCTTATGTTCCTCTACCCCTATGTACCAGCCGTGGCAATTCCAGGTGCCTTTTCAAGCCATCAAAAGGGATTGAAGGAAGAGAAAATGAGAACAGGAGAGTGCTGACTGCAGCCTCAGGACTGCAGAAGAGAGGTGTGAACATGGAACAAGTGCTCACGACGGGAGGAACTCACCCATAGCTGTCTGATGGCAATTTTAACACGCGTAAGGTCACTGGCAGCAGCACCACGTCGCACAGTCAGTTCATTTCAGACAGATAACATCCCCTAAATGACCCCTTCCTAGGAATCCTGTGCTCATTAAGCTTCAGACAGAAAGGCTGTCAGCTGGAGCAGCAAACTTATGCCAGCAAACAACAGTCTGCTGCAGCAGTGGGTCACTTGCTGGGGGATAATTGCCTCCTCCAGGGTGGGGAGTGTCTCTCGGGCATCTGCTTTGGTAGCGCCAAGGCCAAGAAGTGCATTCATTGCTATGTTTGAGAAATCTGCTGCTCCCCAACTGCCACTTCCTAGGCTTTGGAAACCTAGCCAAGACCTCATTACTTCTCAGCTGTTCATTATCTTTTCCACAGTGCTATAAGCTTGGAAAACCAAAGCACAATTCAGTTCGGCCTCTTTTGGAGGTGACAAGGTAGGGAATTGAGTGAAGTCCATTCTTAGTGATAGGAACCACCAGAGAGGTTCATGTACGAGTTCCAGGGACATATCCTCTTGCAGTACTTCAGATAATAAGAATTGATGCAACAAAGCATCCCCAGTAAGGAAAAATGTAAATAAAGTGGATTCTGAGTAGAAAAGCCCCTGAGCAGTAGAAATTCAGTGGTTAATATATTAGAGGTTTTTGACCTTTTTCTTCAAGGACTTCTGCTATCAGTAGATATCAGAAGTATGACTTCTGCATAATAACCGTGATATCAGAGAAGAAAACGTAGGTTCAAAGTCACTCTGAATATTCCCAGCAGACAGGAATCTCAACAGCCCCGCAGCCCACAGAGCAGGTGGGAAGCAAGCGACAAGCCTTGTCCTTCTCATTACCTACTACTAAAATATCTGTCCCCAACAATGGCAGAGAAAAGTCTTGGCTGCAGCAAATGGGAGCAGCTCTGCAGAAGATAGGGAACTTCTTTACGAAGGTGATTAGGCACTGTATTTCTCCTTGGCTGTAGCATTCAGGCCAACTAACGTAACACACACCCTCCTCTCCCTTCATCTGATGGCTTCATAAGGAGCTGCTGACCACCCTGCAGTGGGATCCCTGCTTTGCTGCCACATCCACAGAGGGACCACTCTGCTCTGTCCCACACAGGCATGGCCACAGCTGAGGTTTCCTCTCTGGCAGTTGAATCAGGGGAGAGTAGCCAGCCCATATCCTGTGAGCAATTTGGCAAAGGGAACATTTCAGCTTGAAAATGATGATGAGAGCAAAGACCTTTTGTCCTTGGAGGTTTGCTTTCTATTAAATGTCTTTACAGGAGGTGGAAAGACCTTGTGTTTTGACAGCTGTGACATCTTTAAAAACAAAATACACCCACTTCTACACCACTATCATATTTGGGGAGTTGCCACAGGTAATCACAATTATTAGATGGAGTCTGTGAGATAAGCAGTGATCCGTGTGCTGACAGCCCTGGGGTGCAGCATCAGCCGGCCAAGCACAGCACCCCTCTAGCTCTCCCAGTCAGTAAGTGCCAAAAGTTCATATGTACCAAAAGTTCATACATGCTTAAAACCCATTCTACACAGCAGCAAACTCACAGGCAGGGTAACACAGCTGCTAAGGCGATGCTCAGGCTGCAGCAAAATATTCTACTCGCCTTTTAGCCCATCTTTTTCTAACTCACGCTCTTGGCTCAAGGCCACATAGGAAGCATTTGCAACCATTCTCAATTAGCTATTTGTTTTTAAATTGTCCATTTGTATCCCTTTTATGTCCTAGCTGCTCTGGTGACACCGGTGAGCGATGGCTCTGTGTTTTATGTCTACGCGCTGACATAAGTTATGCTGTGTGATGGGGTAATGTTCTGGAACTGCATGACAATTTCTGCCTTCCTGCCTGCTTCCATTTGAAAGCAATGCAAATTGTAATAGCAGCTCTCAGAGTTAAACACAGATTGACAAATAATCATAAAAAAGTAGCATCAGATTATTACTCTACGTCACTTATTTGAAGGCAATGGCATCCACCACTTCACAATACATCTTTCTCCCCAGCACCAGGGAAAATTTTGACAGGCAGAATTACCATTTCATTCCCAACTAGAAAAACACTGACAAGCTTCAAAGGACGGTTTGGAAGAGAAACCACAGGCAGCCAAAGGAGTAAATTACAGGAGGATGAAGAAACCTCAAGAGGTCTTAGTTATGGGGGATTGATGGCAGTAACATCTAAGCACAATTCTTACTGTAAAACCCCACACCTCCTGTGCTTTGCATGACTATGACTCATCACCTAAACACAAATTCAATTCCACTTTTAAGGAGTTCGTGATTAAACGTGTTTTTTTTTCTTGATTTTACTATGCTTTTGTATGATTTTCCATCTGTCTCGACTGTGTCCCTTTTGGTGGATGTAAGTGATACAGTTGGTCTTTCGTCACACAGTGCTTTTTTCCAAGGTTGAGTGAAAGTTGGTGGTTCAGTTTAAAGGAATGGAGGGTTTGCAGTGATGTTGATGTTGCTCACCTGCCATTTTGCAGACAGTAGAAGAGGAACCTCTTCCACGTGTACTATCATGTCCATGTTATGGTGGTGCCAGGGCTCAGAGGTGTGCGGTTCTCACGCTTCGAGTGCTGCCTGGATGATTCTAAAGAACCGTAACAGAAAACACAGGAGATTTTGACCAGCCTCAGGTCTGTAAGTACATTTTAAACCCACAAAGTTTGAGTGTGTTTGAAATGTACTCAAATATTTTCTTCTTCACCATTGTGTCCTCATGACCCATCGAATCATCAAAGGCTCAGAGATGAAAGGAGGACTTACGGTTAGAAAATGGAAAGGACTCTGCTGAAGGGGGAATGGTCTGTTGTATCTGCTTTTTTTAATCCCAGAACAAATAGCTTTAGTGAATAATTTTCTGCCAGAGTTTTCAATGTAATGAGTAACGGAGCTTCCAGAAAGATATTTTTTAAATAAAGCAAATAAGCTCTCAATCAAATAAACCCAGAGAAATCAACTGCAAAATCCCCAAAGTGTTTCATGAGCCTTGAGCTGCAATCAGGGCTGAACTCTTCCCAAACCACTAACCTGTAGGGAATCAGAAAAGAAAGCTGTCCCTTCACAAAATGTCAGTGACTACTTCTGCAAGTTATATCCTGCATACAGGAACATAAGTCTTGTTACCATATTTGACTGAAGACAAGACACCTTACATACCCAAATGTGTTATAGTACCCTAAATTGGCACTGAGAAATCAAATTCATCTATATCATAAATATTCTGAGCCAATGAAGCTGCACCAAAGAAGGACCTACTGAGCTGGCACAAGTGTCTAATCTTTATATTTGCAATAAGAGGTTTTTTACCTTCTCAGAAATGGCTGTAATTTGTTTTGGAGATGAATTAATTTCCACCAGGTCAGAGTGAATCCACTGAATAAGGACACCTGAGGACCCTTAAGCCTTTCTCTCCCACAAGATGGGTATGGAGGTGGAACTGCCCACCCTAAAGAGGATTCATTGACTAAATGAACTTCACATAAAAATATATTATTTTCAACCTCAGAAATATTTACCAAAAAATCAGGGATCATGATCTACTGGACAAAAGGAAAACAGTCACAGCCCTAAAAGCTGGAGAAGACCGGGCCATACTCCTCGGGCTGGCCATGATGGTGTGCTCTATCATGATGTACTTCCTCCTGGGAATCACCCTGCTGCGGTCCTACATGCAAAGGTAATTTTGGTGTGGTTACCCTGACCTCACACACCCTGCTCCAGCGGACTTATCACAGCTTGTTCTCATGTCTGGTTTTATTAAAGTTGCATAACTTCTCTTTTGGTCAACAAAGATCATACTCTGCATTTCATTTCCGTAAAATAAATTAGGCATAACGACAGTGAGAGCAAGCTGAGCAGTGCAGGCATGAGTGAGGGAAAATTTAGATCCCTGTTTGACGAAATCTGATCCATAGGCTTTAGCCTTGCTGCAGTTTAACACAACCATAATATCCACATCAACTGTTCTGCTGCCTGCTGAAACCTGTCAGACCCCCAGTGCTTTGCGACAAAGCCCAGACAAAATCCGGAGAGAGCAAAAGTATTTAGCGGCCTTGAGAAACAATGCACTTTCAAATGAAAAATGGAGAATTAATTTGGAAAGAAATCCAGCTGCTTTAGAGCATGTTGTTTTCCATGTGGGTTACTGCTTTCACATTTAACAAGTGAAATCCTCCCAGAACACAGCAATTTGTGAAAGTGAAATATCGTCTTTCATCTTTATTGCATTGTACTTAATTTTTCCAAGGCCTTCTCTGGCTTCTTTCTGTGCAACAGAGCAGAAATTTTGGCCTGTGATTCATTAACAGTATTTGAAAGCAGATTTCAAGCACCAGCCCTATTTAAAATCCATCCCATACAGAAATAAGAGTGTCAACAATGGTTTTTCCACTCCAACCAGCAAAGTTATGGGGATGAAAAACATGTAATTGTGGATCAAAATGGCGGTCTGCAAGCCCAAAACTTGGCACACGTTGGCTTATCAACAACAGAGTCTGTATTAAGATATTCACAATAAGTGCCTGAAGTTAACTGGTACGAATATCCTCAATTATATCACTGCAAAAATTGAAAATCATTCCTCAACCCTGCCATGATAAGGAAAAAGAACCATTACACATGAGGATGAACTGAATGCCAGCCAGCATCTTATTTGTGCAATAAAAGTATTTACCCCTTCTTAAGTCCAAGCAAAGTTTAGATTTCTGGAGACAGGGATCGAAGCCTTTTAAGTATCTCAGAGCATTTGCATTTCCAAACTGTCCTCACAGACCTTTCAGCAGTATCAGGGTCAATTGCAGAGGCTGCTAAGGTCAAAATTGCTCGTGTGGAAAGCTGATTTATATAACAAACTATGTGAAAAAATGCCTGAAGCACCTATGAAGTATCAAATATTCCAACTTCACAAGTCTCCCATGGATAGGTGTTACAGTACTACCCCCACCTGTGCATAAAACAGCAGTCAAAGGGAAAAGTGAGTAAAAGAAGGGTTTCTGCAGGTCTCTGCTAGTGAATGCCCATATCCCAGCAATGAGAGGTTGTCCTTCTTGAGCTGAGCTGGATGCCATGGTTAATGGTTGAGGCTCAGCTCATGGCATCCCTTCACAGCCCCACTTGTTATGCGCTCTCCCTGGAGCACACTGCTCTGTATCCTTCTCTGCTGATTCCTTTTGATCTTTATAGACCTTCTTCAGACTGAGACCCAGTTCCCTTTTCATCTACATACATAAATTAGTGAATAGAGATATCTTCCCAAACATTAGGCACTGCAGAATAACACAAGAAAGTCCAGCCCTTTCAAAGGGCTCAAAGCCCTTCAAGATTCCCCTCATATATCCCCAATGGAAATTCTGAGCTGCAGTCGGTGCTTATCACCCATTCTAGCCATGCTCTGACATCTCCTTTTTTCTGCTTTAGTGTCTGGACAGAAGAAGCTCAGTGCTCGCTTCTCAACGCATCCATCACTGAAACCTTCAACTGCTCGTTTAGCTGCGGCCCAGACTGCTGGAAAATCTCTCAGTACCCCTGCCTGCAGGTGTACGTCAATCTCACTTCTTCTGGCCAGAAGCTTCTGCTCTACCACACCGAAGAAACAATGAAAATTAATTCTGAGGTAGGAGCACGGAATGAAATTTCTTCCTAAATGGATTTCTGGAGGGCTGCTCACTGTGTTATAGCCGTTCCCTGTTTAAACGTGATATAAGGCTTGCAGCTCCTACTTCCCTGGTAAATGCAGAGCAGAGAGCAGTGCCCAGACAGAGCTTCCATCTCTGAAGGGGAACATTCTCCTCCACCCCATGCAGACAGCACATTCTGAAGTGCCACACCTGGGGCTGGAGCCTCTTCTCATCCCTCCCTCCCCCCCCCCCCGTGCTGGGGTCACAGTGCAAAGATGCTGAAGGTTTACATAAAAGAGACTGTCAAGACGAAAGATGGAGATAAAAAAAATAAAAGGCAGACTAAGATGCTGGCCCATTTTCTCACACCATTTCCCCAATTCCAGACTTTGAAAACAGAAATATTTTTAACAGAAGAACTCCTCTCTGCTTCAGCAAGTGTGACACCCAGCACGACTCAGTCCAGGTGGGACAGAGACAGCTCCTGCCTGCAGGCTGCGATGCAGGCAGCGGGCACGCAGGCAGCGCCGCTCCGAGCAGCGCCTGCTCACAGGTGGCTGCGAGCCGCCTCTACGATGCTGCGTATGGGGCTCTGACACGCGCCTCTCTCATCTCCCCTTCTGCACATCGCCAGCACTGGGTGCCAAAGACCACAGGCTGCAGCAAGATGGGATGCAGCTCAGTCACGAGGCTTTAAATTCTTAGTTATCCAAGGTCACTGAACCCCAAACTACAGACGTGCTGCAGTCCGCAATGGCAGAGCCCATGTTCGAGCAGCTGACAGCCTAACCTATTGTATTTCTATTTATGGCAGCAGTTCAGGAGACCAAATTACTTCTGTATATTAAGATGAAGTGATATTAAAATGAGTCAAAGCACCGAGTGGTTGCACAGGGTGGTTATTCTGCTGGATAATTAGCTCCTGTGGCTGAGAAACGAAGTCCTTTGGAGTTGAGGTGTGAAATACAGCAGTGTCCCCATTCCACCCCCAACAGTGCAGAAAAGAGGCACCTGCAGTCCATTTCCCAGCACCCACAAGCTAGGGCAGATCCGACTCTCCGCTGAGACAGAAGTAAAATCCAGTGATTCGATTAAAACAGATCAGATCAGTTTCTGCACTCTACTGGATTCAAGTAAATCAGGAGGTTTAGCATAAATCTCCACATTCTGCTACTGATTTTTGTTCGATGAGAACAGATTTTGAAATTCTCCTGAACACCTCCACCTCTTAATTTAATGTGGGCACAGTTAATACTCCTCCAGCCCAAGGTTGTTTTACAGGTTAAGCTCTACTCTCAAGAGGATTCCTAGGTTTTCCTCATGTGCTGCTGGCTATGTGACCTGAATCCGAACACAGTTTTTAATGGACGCTCGCCATGTCTGTAAAATAACTGGCTGGGATCAGCAGAGCCTCCAGGCTTCAGGCCAGTGCAGCCCATTTCTGTAGGGACCACCTCCTCCCAAACCTTTTCTAAGATCTGCATTACGTGGTAGAAGCACTGGGACAATTCCTACTGCAGATCTTTGAGGATTAGGAAAAGGATGTTCCATTTCAGTCTCAAGGGTTATCACAGCTTCAGCAGAATGCATGGCTACAGACTAGAAAGTGAGGTATTTTACCAAAAGACAGAGGAAATGCCAAAATCCCCACACCTGCTCAACCCATGCTCAGCACTCACCACCTTCCTCCTGCTTCATCACACCTTCTCAGCAAACCCACCCTCACCCCCTGCATCCATGTCCCAGCAAGCTCTTCACCCTAAGCAGCCATTGGACCATTTGCATTATTTCCCCCTCTTTCTCTACCCACCTCTGCCTTGCAGGTTTGCATTCCCCATCTTCCTCCTTGCTAAGCAAGCCAGAGAGAAGTCTGGCCTGGCTCACTGAGCCCTGACAGAGATGAAGATGCGCAGACGTGTTATACACCAGCACACATGACCTCCAAGAGGTCCCCCTGCCTCGTTGAGCACCGCCACGCATGCCAAGCAGCACCTGCAGCCCATTTCGCCCCTCTTGCCAGCAGCAAAATGAGCAGAATGCACTTTGATTTTAAATAATGATTAATCTAGGAGACTTGCTACCTAACGGAGCTGCTGTCCCACATGGCGTGGTGAGAAACAGGTGCCATTTATATTGAGACATACGGCATGCCGCTGCCAGTCTCAATGGGAAGTAAATGGATGCCAGCTGAGCTGCTCAAGCCTATCCCAGAAAAGCATCCACAGTTTTTCATGGCTTGTCATTGCGCTCACTGTCTGCACTCTATCTCTAGCCTTAAGGCAAGACCAACTCCTTGCCAATACTACAATCGTGGCAGCTTACATACTTTCACAGCTATACTTTTCTTACTTGGTTGCCATACACTGCAAGAGTCGACAGGGGAGGTACATTGGGCAGTGTAGCCTGCACCCAGAGATGTCTGCCATGCCAAGGAAGGACTGAGCAGCTTAGAGCAGTTCCAAAAGCCCCGATTCCATTCCATGCTACATCATCTTGATTCCTTTCATGTCACCACTGGTTTATATCCATGCTTTGTAAGTGAGGTAAGCAAGCAGATTTGATCATCAGAACCAGTTACGTGCTTGCCCAGAGTTGCTGTGCAGTCTCCAACCATGGAGATCCTCACAGCTTGACTGGCCAAGTGACCCTTCACTGAGCAGGGCTTTGGGTTGGACAAGTTGAGAGGCAGATAGCCTGTACAGATTGCCCAATCCTTTAAATTAGAAAGGTAGGGCTGGAAATCTAGCAAGTCCTCTTTATAACTACCTAGCATGTGCTCTTAGTGATCAGATTGCTAGTAACACAAGAGCCACTTACCCCATGTTTTATCACAGAATTCTTACTTGAGACAGAGGTCCAGACAAAGTTTACTTCCATTCTTGCAGACTTCCAGGTGTTTGGCAATGCAGAATTGTAATAAAGCAGCGCAGCTTTAGTAGTTTACATTCATAGACACAGCATAAGAATGGCAGATATAAAATTTCCTGCCAAGCACTTGAGAAAACTAAATGACAATCAAACCAAAGAAAACACTGCAAGCATCCCATTATCAGCATCTGCCTGCCTGCCCATCACCTACGCAATGCTCAGAACTGAAACAAGGACATTAGCACATGGAGCGAAGGGCACCCGTTATCTTGAAGCATGAGAAGAGATGATTTTGGCACAAGGAGCCTGGCTGTGATGCAAAGCATATCAAGCTCCCTTGCATGACTGCCTTCCATGGCTTCATCACTTCAAACCCGGTTGGCTCAGGCAGCCCAACCAGCCCGACACGGCTGGTGGCTCCGTGTAGGAGGCAACAGCTCGAGTTTTGCTTCTGCATCAGGTCTGCTTCAAAAGTGCTTGCAGAATACTCAAGCCTGCAGGAAGCCAGGATCTGCAGAACTTCCCCACTGCACTCTGGGGACAATTCTGTAGACTCTGATTCCAGGAACCTGTCATCATTGGGGCTTTTACATGCCTGCTGTTTTCTGTCAAGAGGACAGGACTGTGCAACAGCAGTCAAGTCCTCATTCAGTCTCCTCTCTCAGGACAGTAGCAGCTGCTTCAAGGAACAAAAAAATCTGACTCCAAACTTGCAATAAAAAACACAACAAAGCATCAGAGCTGGAAATATTACTGTTAGGACCACGATAGCATGATTCAGTAAAAGAAAATTAGGTACAGCTTCACTGACAATTTTCCCGTACTGAGTAGATTATGATCTATTAAGGAGTCACAGACACTGGAAGAGGGCTTGCAGCTTTGGACATTTAAGACAAAGCTGGGCAGAGTGCAAGAGAATATCCTGGGGGGAGCAGCCCTGCACCAGCAGGAAGATGGATGAGATATTACTGACCTGATATTTTCCATCTTTAATTTCTAGAGCTCTATGAAATATTCATTACGGCAGGCCGACATGCTCTACCCTTAATGCTGCAGTCGGCTAACTGCAGACAATCTTCCTGCCGTGCTTCAAATCACATTCTGGGCTAATAAACTTGCCAATGAATCAATCAAATCCTGTTATGAGGTTAATCCTTGAATTGTTATTAGGACTAGAGATTTTTCTCAGTACGTTATGAAAAGTCACAGTGCAGTCATGAGAAAGAACAGAGGGACATTTATAAAGTTTATAACTTAAAACAACAATAATAAAAAGCTATGGGTTGCATTAATTTAATAAAGATGACTCTTTTCCTTTGAGAAACTCTCTTGCCATGGTTAAGTTACCTAAATTTAACTATCACCCCCTACAAGCAAGATCAGCAGTGCAAGCAGGGGAGCATGGCAGGACCAAAGAGCAAGTTAAGCAACAGCCCAGGAGCCAGGGCTGAGCTCCAGCAAGAGGTGAAGTCACTAGGAAAATCTGCATTTTCTCTTTGACTTTCTATTTGTCCTTAATTGAGGCACTGCCCCTGATGGAAGGTTTGTATTAAGTTTTCCTGTTGGCCTTTTCTTCTGTGAGTGAACACCCATGACTACTGAGATCATTTTGATCCCATACAAGCCAGATCTGAGCTGCCAGATATGTATTTACAGCAAGTCAATTACCCACCTTGCTGCAAGGGTATGTATGCCACTTAAGATGAAGAGGTGCTTCATCAGCTTCATTTTTGCATGTGTAAATTAGCAATAATAATGTATTCACCTATCTCACGAGGCTGCTGTGCAAATTAAAGCATTAATATTTGTACAGCACTTGTAGGCTCTCCAATGGGAAATTCTGTAGATGTACAAAATATTGAGTTTTGTCTGAGATAAATTTATTATTAGCTTAATGATATTGCGCTGTTATTATGAAAAGCACAATCATCTTGAGATTTTCCTGCTTGCCACCTGAAAACAGACACGGTATCTGGTTTGGAGTTGCATTTTTCTCCCTCTGATTTCTCCCCAGTGTTCGTACATACCCAAGTGCGGCAAGAATTACGAGGAATCCATGTCGATGGTGAACGTTGTGATGGAAAACTTCCGAAAGTATCAACGCTTCTCCTGCTTCTATGATCCTGAGGGCACTCAGAAGAACGTGATATTGACCAAACTGTACAGCTCCAACGTGCTGTTCCACTCGCTCTTCTGGCCCACATGCATGATGATCGGCGGCGTTGCCATCGTCGCGATGGTAAAGCTGACTCAATACCTTTCTCTCCTCTGTGAGAGAATCCAAAGGATCAACAGATAAGGATGAAAACTCCTCCAAGAGTTAATTACAGATAAAATACTGTTTTCTCATTCTTCACCAAAGAACCTTAAGTTTGTAACGTGCAAGTCTGTTGTAAGTTCCTTACTATATTCTTATAAGTAGAGCAATAATGCAAAAGCTGTTCTATATGCAAACATGATGTTATTATTATGCAGACAACCGAAAAAATTACTGTTTGTGTTGACGATCTTGTTTGATGCTGAGACCTGTACTTCTTCCCTTTCTACAGCCAGAATTGGGCTCAATGTGACCATTTGCCATACTCAGCCAATTGACTTTCTCAATGTAAAGGATTCTGGGGAAATTTACGCCTGGAGAAAAGGCAGCAAATGACTTGTGCATCACTGAGGTCTCACCTCTGGCTCAGCCCTGCCAATGGGTTTCTGGTTTTGCCTTGTTATTATTGGTTGCAGGGGAAAAAAAGTAGGGAAACAAAACAGGTTTTTTGTGAGCAGGTGGCACCACACGGACTACTGTGAGGCCAGGATGAGTATGAGTGTTTTCTGCCTAAGTAGGACTTGGCGATGCTATGTGTTAGCTCCCCCAGTTCAGAAGTAAATTTTACCCAGTGGTATGTACAGTCTTTTGCAAACACTTTGGAGTTTTATTTATTTTATGCTGTATTTTCCTTCTGTCTTACCAACAGCATCTTTGTCATCTGCAGAAGCTGTAGCCAAAAAAAAAAAAAAAAAGAAAAAAAAAAGAAAACCAACAAAAATCACCTTGTTCCATTTTGTACTTCAGTGTGAGCCCTGCTGATGGAGATGGCACCAGAACACCTTATGTAAAGGTTTATTACTCATTTGTCATGTATTTGCTACCATATCACTGTAAAGAAAAAGTAACACAATCAGCTATTTTTTCATTTTTTACTTCCAACTATTTTAGATTTTTTTACTTGATATATATATACAGATATATATATATATATATATAAAGAAAAGCTATATTATATCTAGTTGTGTATCAGAACTTGATTATGGGATGGTGGCTTTTTTGTTTTTACCAACTGAGAAGTGAACAATGTAACTCGTATTCATAACCTTCAGCCTTGGATAATATCATAACGTGGAGGAGCAGCACCGCAGGATCCCATCCAATATTCATGATGTTGTGTCAGGCAAAGGTCCCTATTGTTGTAACATCCGAAATGACAAAAATCTAATCCAATTCCACAGCTCTTATTAACTGAATTGTTAGGTAATAATCATAATACTTCTGGAAATCTCTCCTGACCTCAACTCAGTGTGCAGTTCTGGCTGAAGTGATTTCTGATTTAAAATGCCCAGGTGCAAGGATTTATTGGAAATATTCATGTTTTTTTCTAATATGCTGTCCTATCTGTCATTTATTTACCACAGGAATATTGCAGGTCTGATTTCACACACACACACACACACACACACACACAACAGTCACGGTTTCTGCATAATTTATTTTTATTCCCCGCATAGAAAACATTCCTTTTTATGCTGTGTTTAAAGGTACCTCTCATAGTTTCTCACCTTGCACTTAGCCTGAAGGACAAATGCAGGGCGTGAACTCACTGCCCAGTGATTCAAAGGAATCATTCACAGGCCTATCCAAGCCAAGAAACTAACATTTTTCCCCTCAAAAAGACTGCAAAGCAAATCTTCTGCCTCCTTCATCTCTATGTAAGTACCTTTCTGCAACATAGCATAAAAAATTTCAAGATATTATGAAACTTTACAAGTCACGCAGGTGTAACACGAGCTGTTAAAAAAAAAAAAAAAAGTTCTAAGCAGTGAAAATGGAGCTGCAATCTTGTAATCAGTAGTATAATTTTCCTTAGGTAAATAAATGCCTGAAGGGCGGGGGGAAGGATAATCAGGGTTCCAAAGATATGTAATAAAAATATTAAATTAAATCTTCTAGATTTCAATATCTTCTGCATTCAGATTTGGCTTGTTTCATTAGACTTTCCTTTATAGCTCCTGCAGCTAAGAAATGAGGAGTGCTGATGCAACAGGGAATTGATGAAGATTTCTGTGTAGAACATTTTCCGGATCAATTTGTGCAATTCACATGGATCACAGCAGATCTGGGCGCTCCCACCATCAGCAGGACCGGTGTGGCAAAATCTTTGTTGAGCAAAAACACTCCGTCCTCAGCCAAAGCTGACCCTTTTGGGACAAATTCAGGACCAATATAGCAACATGGCTCCCAGTTTTCTTCCTTTACAACATTGCTTTCCCTTCAAGCAGAGGGGCTTGCCCCGTGCTGGTGCTCAGCTGTCCCCCATTTACCCCTCTGCTACCACCCATGCCAAAGGGAGAGCCACGCTGCCAACCTCAGCTCACAAATCCAACATCACCCCAGGTCCATGCATGACAACCAGGCTGCCCATGTCAGTGCTGTTTGGTGCTGATGGAGCTCCTGAAACACACTGCACGCTGCACTTGCTGTCAGTGCTCCCTGTGGGTGACACACCTTGATGCTGCTGCTTTCTGTAATCATTTTGTTGACATTAACAGAGAGATCCGTGCGATAGCAAAATAACTTGAGTAATTGGATGGAGCGAGGTAAAACAGTAATTTTAAAGGGAATTAACTGCCTGGCACAGTTAACCCCCCACAGAAGCGTTAGCACTGCAAACACAATGTCGACAGTTCCTGCTGCCTCAAAGAGGAGTGCTTTGGTGGAGATGTGCTGCTCCTTTTCTCTACCACCATTTCAATATCATTTTGAGTAAAACTGATATTCTTGTAGGCAGCACAAATGAATGAGAAACATCCCCTATCCACACACTGCTCTAAGGGTGAACTTGAGTATTCACACAAACCCACCACATTGGAAAAGGTCACTAAAATCACCTACATCAACCATTACCTCATAATCACCACGCCAACTAAATGCATATGCTTCTTGGCACAACCATCTCACCCCACATCCAACTGGGGCAGGAAGGAGCAACTGGGGCTGCAAAACTCCCAATGGAAAAGCGTCACAGGAAAATGTCAGCACAGTGCCTGGACACACTGGGGCCCGCTCATGAAACTTAGGGTATGTGTAATATTGCAGATGCCACATTCACACAGCCTTTTAATAGGTATTTTCTTAATTAGATTATTTACTTCAGGTCTTATTTCTGTTCTGAAACCACTGTGAACTAGAAGTGTGACCAACCCTGCTGCAGTTCTCTGCAACTTGGCACTTTCCTGCAGACTTACTAAATATCACCAGCTAGGACAACAGAGAGCACAGTTGGGTTTAGCTCGTCTGTTTGAGCAGACATCTCTTTTATCTCAAAACGTACCCAGAAAACAATCAGTAGAAGTTGGAGCTAAATACAGAAAGGGGGCTCGGGAAATGAGAGAGCTGCACACCTTGAGAAGACACAGTGCCACAGTCGCAGATCTGGCACAAAGTCCCAAGGCAGGCTGGGGACACGGCCACTGTCCCCACCTTGGGGACTCACTGGTCCTTCATCATGGCCACATCAAAAAGAGAGCACTGTTAGCCAAAGGCAAGCCTTGTGTGTGCAAAGTGGGGTTCTTGGGCAGCACAGCAGCATTTGCTCACATTGAAGCATGCATCCCAAAAGCAGTGCCCAGCAGAGGCAGCTGGCATGCCACAAGGTACAGTGCAGCTCAGTGAAATGACTCAAAGCTGTGCCTGCTGTTGACCTGGTCAGGCAGGCTCCAGCACCTGTGTTACAGAAACTGCAGCCCTACAGCAATGCAGTGAAACCTCTAGTGGAAACTGCAACTTACCGCACCTTAAGAACTGGACAGCTAATTCCCCTTCTCATCCAATAATGCCCATACTAATAGAGCTTCAGCTTTCCAAGGGGACTGAACCAATATTTCTGCAGTAATGCAACCTTGCAGTCTCAGAACCTGAGCATGATAGCATCAGCTCTCCATTAGCTGCTGCACTGCTTGTCATCTATCATAGACCCAGGGAAAAGAACACTTTCTTGCTTCACTGAGCAACCTGAGCTTGTCACTCCCCAGCACTCGGAGTCCAGGAGGAAATCGCTGTTTGTGATGTACCCAAACATTTCACAACTGCATACAGACTCTTCTGAGGTGGTTTGGGTTATCTGGGGAAAAAGTATAAACTACTTAGTTTGAAATGTTTGGAAAACACAATGTTTCCATTTCTCAGTTTGACCCACTGCTGCCTGCTGAAATCCAGGAGAGGAGCAGCTTTCCTACTAGGGATGCTTGAGAAATAAATATAATAGTTCCTCTGGTGCGAAACAAAGCTATCGGCAATTGCTTGGTTCAGTGAATGTTTTGAAGAATTTATTTTTAGAGGCTGACTGGTGACACGTTTCTTCTCTTCCATTCTCCTCAACCATCAGAGGAGCATGGGATCGGTCACGGGGACACAGCCACCAGCAGTCCTCCTAACAAACCCCAGAGACATCACTGATCACAGCCATGAGTAAAGCAAAGCATCAGAGCCTACAGCACCACAGCACCAGGAGGGGAAGGAGAAAAGTAACATTTATCCACCATCACCAGGGTAGCAGTGGTGCAGCTGGTGGCAGCTCCCAGTGCCAATGTCCCCAGCAGCCTAGAGAGCTCCACTTTAATTGGAAATGCTGCCAGGTAAACTGACACCAGGCTTGCCTTCAGTTTGATAAACCCAAGATGTTTTGCTCCCTGGGGGCCAAACACTGAAGTGCTCAGATCCCCACTCAGCATGGCCACAGAGCTGGGTGCTCCCAGGTAGGTGCCGAGCAAGGAAAGAACACAAGCACTGCCAAACCAGATGCAGAATGAGAGAGCTGCCAGGCTCCATAGCACAGGATATATCCAGCAAGAAGGAGCCATGTTTGGGGCTGTGATGGACTTTGCTGCAAGTGAGCAATTTGATCAACCTCACTCAAAGCCTGATTTTCTGCTAACACTATCACACTCCATTTTTCACTCTTAACTCCAACACATCCTATTAGGGACACAGGCAGAGCTAACCAAAAGGCTTTCCCCATGCTAAGGAGTATCAAAATTAGAACTGCCATTAAAAGGAATTCAGATACTCTTCTGTCAAAACTGGGAGGCCTTTATTCCATCACAATTCTTCCTGAAGTTAAGGAAATTGAACCAGAGTTAAGTCATCAATGCCTTGCTTTACACTTGTGCACAACAGTACAGTCAGCTAGCAGAAATTCACAAGGCACATGATGCTTCTGATGTCCCTGCATTAGCTCCGTGCTGCTGAGCAGTCACCTGAAGGAGGGAGAACATCTGCAGTCCCAGATTTCTGCTGCCATCTCTGGCAGTCCTTCATCTTCAGCCAACATCATCCTGGCCACAAATAGCAGATTAATGATCTGGGAAATGTGTTGCTCTCTCATATCCTTTCCGAGTCCCCTCCCACCCCTTCTGGCCTCTCTCCCTGTGACGAGGTGGCCATGCTGATCTACACGCATAGAACAGCAGGAGAAGCAAAGCCCAAGAGCCATCTGCTTCCCATCAGAGTGCTATGTCGCTGGAGTCAGCACTGATCAAAATCCAGATGCCTGCCCAAGGAAGCCTTGGTGTCACCAGCCCTCTGTCTTGGGAGCTGACTGCCCCCCAGCAGCTTACTACGGACCCACTGCTACCACCCCAAGGATCCAGAGCTTGGCAAAGATTTAATCACCGCTCCAAGCCCAGAGTCATCCTTCTGTGCCTGCACAGCCAGGGATGGGCTCATCCTATGCTCTGTTGTATGGCTGACAGTAGCACTTAGACCTTTCCTCATGTCACCTCAGCTGAGCAATAAGCTTGAGCAACAATTACTTCCAGCCTTGGATAAAAAAATCTCCTGTTCTGATGCTGTTAAATTATGTAGAACAAGATTATAATTACACACACACAAAAAAAAAAAACAACCCAAACCATACACGTAAAAGAACATTATTCAGGTTGCAAAAGCAAGCACTCTGAAGTTTCAAAATGCCAGAAATAGAGCTGCCTGAACAGTTTTCATGCAGCACTGTTTGTATATATGCATTATGATACAGACTTTACCTATACAGTGATATACCACTTCTCCACTGGACACCCGGCCCTGAGCCAAGTGGAAGAAACTGAGTTTATAAGTCATTGCTCTACTTCTTTTTAATCCTTTTTGTTCTGTGTGCCTTCAGTGCGTGACAGAGATACTGTCAATTGCTGCTCATCCAGCAGAACCCTATATCTCCTTCTCTGAGGCTCAAGGCTCTCTCCAAAGACAGCCATGCCAGACCTGAGCAGTCTAGCTCAGAGGTGGGCACCAGAAGCATGCAGATTGAGCTATTTTTTGTGGCACAGTATCACGTAAAGACAGCTTCTGCACCCAGCGCAGAGTCAGAAGACATCTGATGTCCTTCAGCAGAGGATATGGTGAGGATGAAGAGAGGCTGATGGAGAGCCTCTCTGCCCCCAGAATCCCACAGATCCTTCTCCTGCTTGACTCTGCCAATGGCCAGGCTGGTGCAAAATAAGACTGCTGGGCTCTGCTCTAAGCTGAGCTGTGCCAGAAATCCCATCCACCAGTTCCTGTCACCTCTCCCATAGAGGTCTACCAGAACAGATCAAAGAGAATGAGACCAGCACACAGACTTCCCCTAAAGTCATAAGTCTGTCTATTCCTCAAGTGAAATATAAATCTACCAACACGGACTCAACAGCTACTGGAGGCCATGTTCCCCCAGTTCATCTGGACATTGTCTATAGGACAGGTCACAGAGAAGGGCGGTTGCGTGCATGGAAAGATGGGAGCTGGTCAACCGCAGCCATCAGCTCTGCACACAGACTGAGGGCTCTCCACAAGCCGTGACTGTCCCCACCATGATGTGCAATCAGTTCTCAGCCATGGTGCACATCGCCATGTCACAGCAAAATGTGGT